AAGAAAATGCCTAGATGGATTAAAAAAAAAAGTCCAGCCCAAACAAGGACCTTCCCAGCTCCAGCATAATGTGAGAACAGGGGAAAGAAGATCATTCCTTCAGCTGGACTCACTCTCAAGTCTCTGGCCAGGATTCTCCGTCCCAGCCACCTCACACAGCCCTGCCATGGGGAGCCCCCTCCCTCTACCCCCAGCAGTTGTAGGCAACCAGCCCCTATTGTCTCCCATCCTCCATGGTCCCTCATTCCCCACTCAAGTGTCACTGTGTGTCCCCACATCTGATCGGTCCTTCCTGAATGTGGTCAGCAAGAGACATCAGTCCCACCTTTTATTAAGGAGGCTGCCGGCTGCAGCCCTCACTGTGGCCTTGCCAAGAGGAGAGTGCTGAAAGGGCATATCCTCCGGGCCCTGGCTGGCTTCACCATCCCCAGGTTTCTTCTCCCTCGGGGAAAAGGGTTTCTTGTTGGGACCTGACAACACAGAACAGAGCTTATGCTGCTATAGGCCTGATGCTGGACTTTCAGTTTCTTTTTGACAAAGGACTACTGACACAGAAAGTTATAAAAGAGCCCAAGGAAATAACTATAGACATAAGGACCCACTCAGACCCAGCCTCCCCTCTGGCCCTGGAAAAAGCAAGCACATTCCTGGCCAAAAGGCCTCACACACAGAACATTAGACCATGAAAGAATCATTGAAAACTCACTTATTTTCTTCTTGTGCCAAAAGATAGCCACGTCTTTATGCAAACTTTTCCCCTTCTTCCTAGCCAGGGCTGCAGATGCCTAAAAAACAGTCCATGCCCAAGTATAAAAAGAGCAGGAACCCAAAGAACACGAGAATGAAAGTTCAAATGCAGTAAGAACAGACCACTCAAAAATAAAAAGGAGCCACTATCCTCTGTGCTGCAGGGACACCTCCTCCTACCACACCACATGCTCTGTCCACATCATCTGCCTCCAGCGTGGAAGCCATACTCCTCCTCTCCTTTTCCTATCCCACAAGCAGGTGCCACTCTTCTTTCCAAAACTAGCAACTGTGCTGTGATAGAACCCACGAAGTTGGCCTCTGATCTTTGGTGAAATGAATCTCACCAGCTAATTTCATATACAGAAACAGAAACCCTGCCAAGTCACACGAAAGCGCAAAAGGAAATTCCAAAATAATGCACATGGAGTACCATTTATCACAAAATTAACTACATGTTATAAAGGTATAGACACACTTACATGTAGAAAAAGTTACCATTCTAGGTAACTGGGGATGCTCCTGAGTGACAGGAGAGATAAGTGCAATCAGCTTGTTTCTCAATGAATTGTTTATAGTGGCAGTGTATTTACAAATTAGTCACATCATAAAAATACTGAAGGTTCAGCTGAGAAAATAAGCACATTACACAGAAAACCTAACTTTTTAAAAACTGAAGATTACCATATGAACAAGTAATTCCACTCCCAAAAAAATACGCCCAAAAATTGAAGGCAGAGGCTCAAACAGATACCTCTATACCAGTGACCCCAGCAGCATTACCCACAATAGCGAAGGGTGGAAACAATCCAAGTGTTCCTCAACAGGGAACTTATTATAAAACACAGTCTATTCGTTAATGGAATACTATCAACCCATAAAAAGAATGTTCTGATACATCCTACAACATGAACTACCTCTGAAAACTTGTAAGTAAAACATGTCACACAAAAAGACAAATATTAAGTATATAAATACTGTATATTCGTGAAATATCTAAAACAGGAACTCCGTGACAGAAAGTAGACTAGAGGTAACCAGGGACTGGGACAAGGGGAGTAGGGAGTTTCTAAGTTGAAAGCGACATATTTTCCTGCTTCTCTTATACTCAAGGAACCTCCAGGTCCACTATTAATTAGGTGGGAAAATGAAAAATCCAGAACTAATTTGACTCACCTTTTTTATCTGGGAAAAAAAACACTTTAAAAGAGGCAAAGTCCAAATGTGGGTAACAAATAGAAGATTAGGATTACTCACATGATCAAAAAAATGCACCACTGCAAGCTTTTTGCTGCGTCTAGTGAAGATTCGCTGCACTTTAGCAATTTTGCCAAAGTGGTTCTCCAGGGTAGTCCTGTCATTGAGGTAGTCCGGAATGTTCTTGCACTGGATCACTGTGAGTTCTGTGGGAGACAAGCGCCCAAGGCTGTCCATGTTCTCACTTTTTTTACTCTGGTGCACAGGAGCTCCCCTTACAGAATCTGGGGATTCAGAGAACAAGACACATAAACCCATCAGGTGTGACACTTTCAAACCACAGGAGGAACCAACTATACGAAAGCAAGTTTTTCACAGATGGAAGGCCTACACCAAGGTCCTACGTTAGGGTCCCTAACACTTATAGGCAACTTAGAAAAAACCAAGATAGTTGTGATGGTCCATGTCTATAATCCTAGCATTCTAGAAGAATGAGGAAGGAGGATGACAAGTTCCAACCTACCCTGGGCAACTTTGTGAGAGACTGTCCCAAAATAAAAAATAAAATTTTAGAAAAGGCTGGGGATATAGCTCAGTGCAAAGGCCCTCGGTTCAACAAGCTGTACAACAAAATTGAAAGAAAAATCAACTTAACACCCAGGAAAACTTAATGAGACCCTGCTAGCAGAATGTACTGTGTTGTACATTTTTTTAACTCACCTTCTTTTTTATCCCTGCTTTCAGTTTCTTCCTCTTTATTCATACCAGGAAGCCGAGAAGGTGCAAGGACAGACTGACTACTTCCTGAAATGGCCATGTGGTCACTTTCCCCACACTCAGCAAAGCCACTTTCCTTTTTAGATTCTTTATTGCTCAGGCGACCTACTTCTTTATTGCTTTTGAAGACATCTTGTATTGTCCGACCAAACAAAGTACCTCCCCGGGGTCGATTCAGACGGACGGGTCGTTTATCTGGAGGATGATCACCCCTGGACAGAGGATCTGAGTCATCTGCTGCCTCATGGCCATGTCTCCTTGGAGAGCGATCTTGGTCCTCTTTCCTTTTCAGTCCTTTCATGAGGCTGGAAAGCGGTTCCACCTGGGAAACAGCCTCTTCACACTCTTGTCGCACACCTGATTTGCTAACTGAGAAGGGTTCTCCCAAAGACCCAGCAGATACAGGAAAACTACTGAAGTTACTATTACAACTTCCAAAAACTGATTTAAGTCCTCTCTTTTCTTCCTCTACATTTTGGTTTGACAAAGGGGTAAAGGGAGATGAATTGTTATTATTAACTGGTCTTGAAAAGATAAAACTTGAATTGGTAGCTGAACTACTTGTTACCTGGGAAAAAGAAAAAGGAGCCAGGCCTCCTGGTCCGCTATTAATTGGATGGGAAAATGTAAAAAATCCAGAAGTAATTTGGCTCTGGGTTTTCTCTGGCTCGGACTCAGCCCCTAATATGGGTCTGAATACTGCGTTTTCCAGAGGTTTAAAGCTGATCTCTGTTTTCCCAAAACCAGAGCTCACTACTTCTCCAGTTTCTGATCCAAACGTAGAGGTAGTTGAGAAAACCCCAAGGCTGGTAGGTGATTTAAAACTAAATCCTGAGTTTCCAGGCAGAGATGAACTTGAAGTCCCAGAAGTAGCTACAAAGGGAGGCGTGTGTTCAAGTCCAGAAAAGAGTCCAGAATTTGAGGTCTGGGTGAGTCCAAATGTTTGCCCTGAAGAATGATTTATTCCAGAAGGTGCTCCAAAGCTGGGCATTTGCGAAAATCCTGTGCTCCTTCCAGACAATGTACTGTTTTGTCCAAAAAGTGAAGGTTGACCAAATCGAAATGGTGGCTTAGACTGAAATGTTCCTGCTGTACTACTAGAAGATGCTGCAAAAGCACTCGGCTGCTGACCACTGAAAGGATTCACTGGGTTCATCTTTGATTCAATTATTAAAAAGCAATAAATACCATGTGTACAAAGTTAAGTCTCGTTTCCTAAACAGTCTGTTCCACTAGAGAGAGCTCCCCTTCATCTTCAGGATAAGCTGAAGGACAAAAATTCAGAATATCACAGTATGTCCTTATAAGGAATAAGAACAGTCTTAACTCACAAGCCACAGTTAATTATTCTTCGATTTTTTTGAAGCAGGGTCTCGCTATATGGTTGAGGCTGGTCTTGAACTCATTATGTAGCCCAGGCTGGCCGCGAACCTGCAGCGATCCTGACTGTGCCTCCCAAGTGCTGGGATTACAGGCCTGCTCCAGGAGGCCCGGCTGAAAGCATAATTATTTAAAACGCGAGCAACGCAAAAGATGGAGCCACTTTATCTGCTGAGCTATCACTGTCTCTCGCCAGCAAAGGAACCTATTGGCTCTCACAAAATAAAGTTGCTATACAGAGGTTTAAAACCTGATCATTAGAGACTAAAATGAAAATCCGTATCGTTTTAATAAATTCGCGAGAACTCTCGCTTGGTAATAGGAATGGATGCCGTTACTTACACCTTTGAACTTAGAGGGAGACGTCGCCGACTGCCTAGTCTCGGCGCCCAGAGATTACAATGTAACCGCTGCGCTGCTACTGTGCCCCCACCCCATCTAACTCTTCTCCGAGGAACCGCAGCACGAAGCACCTTTTCCCGATCAAGAAATAGATTTTTTTTTTATAATGGCGACTGCTGGAGGTTGGCTCAGGCCAGAGCGGCCTCGCGGAGCAGCCGGGGGCGAGGCCTCCACCGCGGCCGGGAGTCCTTGGCTACGCCGGGGAAGCAGTCGGGCCGCGCTGGCCGGGCCCTGGCCCGCCCGCCCCCTCCGTCCGCTCCGTCCGCTCCGTCCGCTCCGTCCCCTCCGTCCCCTACCGCTCGCCGCCGCCCTTCGTCCCCTGCGGTCAGCCGCGTAGGTCCTCGGCACCAGGGAGGCGGGGGCGGGGGGGGGGCGCTTGGCTGTGCGCGGCGGGCAGAAAACACGGAGGGCACCAAACGCAGCGGGCAGAAAACGCCGCGGACTAGCTTCCGGTCCCCCGGCCCGCCGCGTTCGAGTTCCGCTCCGCGGCTTCCGGCCTGCTGCGCCGCTTCCGGTCCAGTAAGTGCAGGGCCGGCTCCTCCGTAGTGAGTTCACGCTGAGCGCCCGAAAGCCCCACGCCTTCGCTGCTTCTCTGCGCTACACGGCCCCGCGCGGCTGCCCCAACTAGTGAAGACCACATCCCCGCAGACCGTTTCCTGGGGTTGTCATTAGCGTTCCTTTGCCTGACTCCGTGGCTGTACCAGGTTTGTTTTGATACTAAGGATGGAACCCAGGGCGTTTCACCACTGAGCTACGTCTTCATCACTTTTATTTGTTTGTATATTTTTGGTGTTAGGAATTGGGCCCAGGGTTTTCACGGTGCGCTCCATCCCCAGCTCTTTTTTTTTTTTTTTTTTTTAAAGTGGAGACAGAATCTCGCTAATTTGACCCGCTGGGCTCCAAACTTTGATTCTCCTGCCTCAGCCCTCTAATGGCAGGGATTACAACCATGTGCCACCGAACAGGGCTAAATTCCTCATTTTTATATCTTCTTATGGTGAATGCAAATTTCGCTAAAGTGGTCAACAAATTCCACCAAATAAAGTGAGTGATTTGGTTGTAGCATGTGTGTTTTTATAGAATCTATCACTTTCTAGTACTGATCTCTTCAACTTTAACCACAGGTTCCATCCAAACAATTTTAAAGGGCCTGATGTTCTTCCTAAAATGAGTTTGGTGATTAGAAATCTGCAACGCGCGATCCCCATTAGGAGAGTGCCACTTCGCAGGAATGTGGAGATTGTAAGGAATGTTTTAGGAGTGGAGAAATTTGACCTGGGGATCATCTTTCTTGACAACAAGAATATTCAGCATATTAATGGGATCTACAGGAAGAAAAGTGTCCCAACCGATGTGCTTTCGTTTCCATTTCATGAGGTAAAAGAAATGCTCCTCTTCTTGTTTAGCCTGCCTTCCAGAATAAATTTTGTCTTAATTACATACGTGGTTCTTAATTTTGATTTTGAAAATTTCCAAAAACAAGAATGCCAGGCTTGGTGGTGCACGCTTGTAATCCCGCCTACTTAGGAGGTTAAGGCAAGAGGATCACAAGTTTGAGCCCAGCCTGGGCAACTTAGTGACTTAGCAAGACCCTGTCTCAAAATAAATAAGATCTGGGGGGGTATCTCAGTGGTAGAGTGCCCCTGGGTTTGATTCTCAGTATCTCAGAAGGACAAATGTGATAATTCACCTCAATTCCCCTCAATTCACCTTGGTATTGCCAAGTGGAAGAGGAAAGGTGTCTAAACCCTGTCCTCTCCTCAGTGCTGTCAGTGAATTAAAAGAAGTGCTTCTGTGTCCTTAGGACTCAATGAACAGAAGGAGATTTGAAAAAAATGATAACACTAAATAAAAGACTGGAGTACCTTAAACACATACAATGTGCCCGCTGTGCGCACCTGTAGTGATGCAAGGCTTCACTCGTTGTTAGCAGCGTAAGGTGAAGCAACCCTCCTGGAAAGCAATTTGGCAATATAGAGAGCAGCAAAGAGCCTTTAAAACAGCCACGGTGTAATCTACTGGTATCACATCTAGGGAGATAAATCCAAAGAAGAGAAAAGATACACTACTAAACATATAATGTAAAATGTATTAGAATTGTTTACTTACTGTTTTCCTTCATATGGAAAGAATAGATACATCCTAAATATCCAGCCATAGATGAGTGTCTTAGTGTGGACAGTCCTCAGCTGAGGGCCTGGTCTTCACAGTTTCTGTGGGAGCATGGAAGATTTCGTTCAGGAATAGGCAGAATGACAGAAATTCAAAATTGTGTTTCCATGCCGAGTTAGCTCTGAAGAAGCTTTTTGCGGGCGGCGGGGGGCAGGTTTTCCACATTGGGAGGGATGAAAGTGACTCATCTGACAGGTGGGAGCGTTCGAAATCACCTGTGTGTGGGGGCTGCGCAGCTTGCCCCCTTGGGCCTCACTGCTGCTCATAAGCATGCTGCTTGAGTCCCCTCTGCCTAAGACTCTGAGCCGTGTCCTTGTGGCTGGGTTACTGTTTCCAGAGTGATGTCCTCTAAGTCTGTTTCCTCATTTTCAGAATCTGAAAGCAGGTGAAATTCCCCAGCCTAGTTTTCCAGGTGACTATAATCTGGGAGACATTTTCTTAGGTGTGGAGTATATCTTCCAGCAGTGCAAAGAAAATGAAGATTACTATGACATTCTGACTGTAAGTAAAGATGCTGAAATCATATCCTGGCTCATGAAACACGTGCCATGCACAGGGGTTAGGAAGGAGACCACTGTGTGCACACCAAGTGCCCCAGGTGCTCGGGGGTTGCAGCAGGAGAACTCACAAGCAGAGAGGAGTACCCAGGCCTGTGAAAAACAGGGCTCCCAGGAGCCCTCTAGAACTCATCCATGGGAATCAGTAAGCTGTGTTTTCACTCAGACAGACCTGCTAGATCAGCTTCTTCAGCCGCCAGAAACATGAAGAATCTGAGTTTTTTAGGAGCTTCCATACTTGCTATGGGTTCTTTGGCAGTACAGCCACCACCTGGACTGTCTGACATACCCTGGGGTTGTGGTGGCAAATCTAAGGCACACCTGTTGTTTTTCTTTCAGGACAAAAGTTGTTAATGTGTAAGTTGCTTTTCTACGCTCAGGCCTCAGTATTCAGGTTTAATTGCAGTATTGGCCAGCTCCCTCTCACCGCTTCTGCCTTGGTCGGCTCAGTTCTCTTTGCCCCCCACCCTAGATCTGTACCCAGCTCCCCCTAGTTCTCTACCTTGAAGAGTGCAGTTGCTGGGTTCCCATTTCAGAGAGAGAGCTGAGGTGGGGCACTTGAATCTGCCCATGACGGTGGCTGGCTCTTGCACAGTACCCTCCCTGGGTGAAGAACAGCTTGGTTTTCCAAGGGCAGCTGGGACCCTGGGGATGACCTTGAAAGGGCAGCTTTCTGTGCTGTCAACCCCTAAACCAGTTTTTTAATTTTCCAACAGGTGACAGCCACCCATGGACTCTGTCACCTATTGGGCTTCACACACAACTCGGAAGCAGAGTGGCAGAAGGTAGGAGCCCCAGGCCAGCTTGTACCCCACAGCCAAACGTGCCCTTTAAAAAAAAAATGGTTCACAAGCATCCATTTTAAATACTTTAAATACCTATGGCAGTATTAGTGCCAACTGTTGAAAAGCAGATGTGAGTAGACAGACTGAAAGTTATCTCCCCCGGAGCACTTGTAATTAATTCTAGGGGAAAGCACACTGTTCAGAAAGTCTTAAGAAGAACCTGATGATAACCAAGAGTTGTGTAATCCCAGCTGTCAGGAAGCTGAGGTCGGGCTGGGCATGGTGGCACAAGCCTGTAATCCCAGCACTTGGGAGGCTGAGGCAGGAGGATCGTTGTGAGTTCGAGACCAGCCTGGGCTACAAAGTGAGCTGAAGGCCAGCCTGAGCTGCGTAGCGAGACCCTGTCTCAAAAAGACAATAAATAAATAAATTTAAAAAAGGAAGCTGAGGTAGAAGGATCACCGTGAATTTTTTTTTTTTTTTGGTTTTTCTCCGGTACCAGGAACCGAACTCATGACCTTGCGCTTGCCAGGCAGGCGCTTTTGCCGCTGAGCTAAATCCCCAGCCCTGATCACCGTGAATTTAAAGCCAGCCTGGGCTACATAGTGAGACTTTCTCAAAAAAAAAAAAAAAAAAAAAGGAGAAAGAAAAGAAAAGAACCTGATGATAAGCATCATCAGAAACAAGATTGAGTACAGGGAGAAACCTGGTTTAAAGTGAATCAGACAGGGTATGGTGATGCACACCTGTAACACCACCACTTGCAAGGCTGAGGCAGGAGGATCACAGCAAGTGCAAGGGCAACCTGGACTGCATAGTGAGTTCAAGAATAAATAACTTGAACTACACAGCAAGACCCTGTCTCAAAAAAATGTTTTTAGAAAAGAAATAGTGAATCAGTGCCACTCTCTATGTTCAGCCACCTTGGTTTGTATTTGAGAGCAAACTATCCATTGTTCTGAAAGACCTGAAAAACTTTCTCTTTAGAGAAAGACCCCTGCTGGCACCACCCAACCCATCCAGGTGCTGCCCTAAGCTGTGCAGGGTCACAAGGCCCTGCCCCTCACAGGCTGGAGGGTATTTCTGGGGGCAGGGTAGGTGAGTGTCCTGGAGGTCCCGGCCTTGCTCTGTCTTTCAGATGTACCTCCAGGAGAAGCAGGTGCTGGAGGAGCTAAGCCGGCGCACGGGGGCCCAGCTCCAGCCCCTGAGCAGAGACCTCTTCTGATGCTGCTGTGGGCACTGACCAGACCAGAGCTGGACCAAGGCTCCTGACCCGAGCCTTGCTTGTGCTAGACCTCAGACATTGAAGCTGCTGATCCGCCTCACCCCCGCCTCTCCTGCGGTGTCCCTGTGGACATGGCCACCCAGGGCCCAAAGGGGACTTGCTCTGCTTCCTCTGTGTGGGAGGCACGGGAAGCTTGCAGTTCCTCTGTAGGAAATCTCACTGGGGCAGTCTTTCCTGTTCATCCTCTGAAAGTTGAAATAAGCTACAAGTTTCAGATCCTTTAGGCACAAGTGCCATGTCCTTGGTGGGAGCAGGTCAAGAGGGTGCTGCGTCCTGGCATCTCCCACTGCTGTTAAATGGGAGCCCTGGTGTGGTAGACACTGCAGGAGGTTTCCAGTAAGAGTCAGCCCTAAAACCGGGGGATAGTAGGGCTCCAGTGATGTGTGGGTCGTTCTGATGCAGAAGCATGGAAGTGTTTCCCAGTGGAGTCGGTGAGAACGCAGGACAGGCCCGCCCTGTTCCTCTGGCCTCTGAGCTGTGCATGGCTGGCCTGTGGTTAGCTGGGATTGTTCTCTGTTTAGTGTCTAGCACAGCAGAGCTCAGCAGACATCAGTCCATACCTAGAGCACGAGCCTTGGCAGTATTGGGGGTTATTCTGGGAGGTCATGGGCTGCATTAAAGCCCAGCGCTGGTGGTTCTTTTTTTTCTGAGACATGGTCTTGCTGTGTAGCCCAGGCTGACCTCACAATCCTGCCTCAGCCTCCTCAGTTCTGAGATTGCAGGTATGCATACCCAGTGCTTCTGAAGGCCTGGATGATAACGTGTGGGCCAGCACCCTATAGCTAGCGACCCTGGGGCCTGGCGCAGCCTGATATGTCCCAGCCCCTGCCAGGATCGTTTCCCTGGTGTGACTGGCTGTCCTGCCCCCATCATACTGCACCTGGCCGCTGCTCATCCTCGTCCTCTCACTGTGTGACTGCTCCTATCTGCTGTCTTCCTACTGATTTTCTTGTCTTGATTTGGTGTTTCTATATATTCTTGAAAACCACCTTGTGTCTTAATATAGAACAGGAGCAAGTGTCCTTCTGGCCTACAGCTGAGAAATGCTACCCATGGCCAGCTTGGCAGCTGAACTTGTATCCAGCCCCAACTGCAGGCAACCTCATGCCCACACTGGAGCCCACTGCACACTCCACTTCCCCACACAGGCCTCGAGCCTGGCTCATGGCACATGAGGACACGTGTGAGGGTAGCTCCACGCCTGCCACTCCTGCAGTCCAGCCCGGTCCAGCCAGTGGTGTGCTCAGAGCCGGGCTCCCAGTGCTGAGGTGTTCCCTTCACACCGCCTACCCAGCAAGGCCTAGAGCCAGGGCAAGCAGCAGCTGCCAAAGTTCTTCCGTCTGTAAATGAATAATTATGTTGACAGATAAAACTGAGAAGCACTGCCATGTTTGAACAATCACGAAAATAGGAAATTGGGTCAGGCCTTTAATTCATGCTTTTAACACAGCAGAGTCTGGAATCCCACCCAGAGGTCCGCTGAAGGATGGCTGTGGGAGAGCAGGGTGTCACTCTCCATCTGGCCATCTACGCGGGCACACGCCCTGCTCCTCACAGCTCCGACACACTCCCGAGAGCCAGGCCAGCCAGAGGAGGCTCTCAGCCACAGTGCAGCACCTCCACCTCACCTCACCTCCAACCTGCAAGGTTTCAAGGACATAAACACTGCAAGTAAAGCACTTCACAAGTGAAAAACGTTGAGCCAGGTGTGATGACCCACACCTGTAATCTCAGCACTCTGGGAGGCTGAGGCAGGAGAACTGAAAATTGGAGCTCAGTTTGGGCAACTTAGTAACTTAGTGAAATCCTGTCTCAAATTAAAAAATAAAAAGGGTTTGGGGATGTAACCATTGCGAAGGCACTGAGTTCAATGCAACATACCACTAAGGAAGAGAGAGAGAGGCCCTGGAAGCGGGGAAATAGAAACTTACACGTGATACTTTAAAAGATTAAAAAAAAAAAAAAAAAAAGGATTCCACCAAAAAATAAAGTAAGCATCATAGTAGCTAGGTAGCTGTGCTCAGAGCACCAGTCTCGCAAAGCAGGAGGGACAGGCTACAGAGGAGCTCCTCTTGCTCGCCCCGCCGGAGGGGCTGGGCTCTGCCGCTGGCCTTCAGCAGAAGCTGTGCAGGCAGCATGCGGGTCCCCTCCCGTGCAGACCATAACTCAGAGTCCAGTATTTGTGTTCTGCTTGCTTCATTCACCCTGACATGGGGCTGTTCCACGCTGGGCAGACCGAAGTCCCCATGCCAGGCCACACGCCCCTAAGGCAGCTGCATCCCAGCCCCATGTGACTTCCTTCTCTACCCCCGAGAGGAATGTTTTCTGTTTCTGTGTGGCTGAAACTTTTGATCTTTTCTGTTATGCATGCTGGGCCTTGTTTTCTTAAATTCTGTCCTGGTGAAAGCTTTGTATTTCTCCTGGGTGGGAGTCACCTGGTTTTCCAGAAGCATGGTGAAAGACCAAAGATGGAAGACCTTGCTGCTTACCAAGCTGGAACAAGCGGGCTCATATGCCTGGGGCCTGTGAGGGCAGGATGCCATCGGACACCAGCCTAGAGGACAGGTGAGGGTGACTGGTGTAGCACCTGGGCTGGCCCAAGTCACAGGTACCACTCCACATGAGGGACACCAAGCCCTGCAGCCTTCTGGACGGTGGGGGAATCTTTCTGGCCCCTTCCAAGCCTCCTGCTGCAGCCTACATGCCTGGCCACCCAGGCCCAGGAGGTCTTCCATTCTGCTGCCACAGGTGCCCAACCTTTGCCTTCCAGACTTACGTGCTACCCGCAGGCAGAGTAGTGGGACTGGCCACGTGGCACATGGTGGGCAAGAAGCTGGTGGCAGGTGGCAGGGCGGTGGCTGCAACCACTGGGGGCCACATGGAGTAACTAAGGGAGGCACCCGGCACAGAGCCAGGCTGCAGTGAGGTAGAGGGTGCATAGTGATGGTGGTGGTGCACCGCAGGTGGCTTCTGCCTCTCAGCTCGCAGGGCAACTGGGCGCGTCCCCCGAGGGTCCTGGCAGAGAGTGCACGGCCGTGTTCACAGTGGTGGCCTCTTTCCCTGAACCCATTCCTGACCGGGACAGGGTTGAATGTGAAGGCAGGAAAGGGCAGGAGCTGTAGGTAGAACTTGGGCCAAGAGCTTCCTGGGCCCCAGGTGCACAACCCGTTCCTTACAGGAGGGGCGGCAGCGCTGGGGCTCCACAGCTGGACTCCAGGTTGGACCCAGAGAAGCCCTTCCAGAGCTGCCCAGATGCAGGGTCCCAGGATGCCCCCAGCCCACCTGCAGGGCAGAGTGCAGACCCGTGGGTGCCAGCGCAGGCGGCAGGGCTTTGAGCATCATGTTCTGCATAAGGATCTGGTGCATCTGCGCGTTCTGCATCAGCATCATCTCCACCATGTCTGGAAGGAGAGACGGGGCTGACTTCAGGTTCTGCCTGGGAAACAAAGTGTTAGTTCCTCATCTTGTTAAAACAGGTTCCGCACCTCAAAGCACCTGAGAACATTCTGGCCTATGTGTCTCTGTTGTACAGACTCATGAAATGTTCCAAGAGTGGGACTTGCAGTCAGAGGGGAGCTGTGGGTAAGGCTCTGTGGCCTACCTGGCTGGCCTTAATGCCACCACCGTCCCTCACATCCCCGGGCTGCGTGATCCCGGAACAACATATTCCCCTCCTAACTGCAAGACCTCTTAATGTAACCTTATTTGGGAAAAGGCTACAGATTTAAGTAGGGATGATGAAACAAGGAAATCATCCTGGAATGAACCCTCAATCCAGTGAAAGTGCTGTGTACTAAGAGGGGCAGGTCAGGGAGGTTGCCGTGGGGACGGGGACAAGGCCACAGGGAGGCCTGGAGCCTCCAGAGGAATCAGTCCTGCCCTTACTTGGACTTTTGTGGTCTGGTCTCCCAAAGTGCACAGTAATAAAGTTATACTGTCGAAACCACGCAGATTGTGGGGTTTTGTTTAGCACAGGCACGGACCAGCCCTGGGAACCACAACATTTTAACTTTTCACAATGTGATAGGCAAACACTGCTGCTTCCCATGGTGGTTGCCCCTGGAAATGCACAGTGCTGTGCTGTTGGCCTCACTAAAGAAACACAAATCCCAGGACCATCCTCCAAACATGCACACTCTAGGCCCAGAAAGCTGGGTGGGCTAAGACATGAGCACCCAGGGTCTGGGACCCCTGGGCCCATGGCCAGAAAAGCAAAGGTGTGAAGTAGAGAAGAGCCAGACCCCTGTACACCACAGGTGGTCCCCAAGGACAGCTGAGGAGCTGGGTGTGACAGGCACTGCAAGCACAGATTCACTTCAGTTCCTGACCAGACGCTCTTATCGTAATAAAGTTCAGCTTTTGTGTCTTTCCCCCTTTACTGAGACAGGGTTTCCCCTTGTAGTTCAGTCTGGTCTTCAACTCACTATGTAGTCTAGGCTGGCCTTGAATACACAGCGATCCTCCTGCTTCAGCCTCCCAGGTGGTGGAATTGCAGGCACATGCCACCATGCCTGGCCTTTTTTCCTTTATAGTTAGTACCTTCTGTATCCTGTTGAGGTCTTCAGTCTCTCAAGGTCATGGTGAATGTTCTGTAATTTCTTTTGTAGCTCTGCTTATCTCTTACATTTAGACTTGCAATTCCACCTGTGTATGCTTTGAGTTAGGGTCCACCTTAACATGTTGCTGTGGATATTAACTGGACCCTGGGCCATGCTGAAAGACTCTCATCTTCCTGTTGTACCATAGTCTCATCTGTTACAAAGCAGGTGACACAGGTGTGGAACCGTTGTGGCCCTTCCTCTAGTTGTCTGACATCTTCATGCTGGGCTGAGTAGGGTGTGAGGCCTGATCTGGGGACCCTCCAACGCTATGCACTTGTGGCTGAAGCTGTGGGGGTGGGGATGCTCTGCTGAGACAAAATACCCAGTGCCCAAGGTTAAAGGAGGAAAGGCTTATTTTGACTCACTGCTTGGAGAGGGTTCAGTCCATCATCGGCTGGCTTCAAGGCAGGGTGGCGTGGCAAGTGGTCATCACAGAGCAGAGGACAGGCAGCAGCAGCAGTAAGCAACAAGCGACAGGCCTTTCCGTCCTTTATATCTTATCCAGGCTCCTCACCCTTGGTGGGGCAGCACTCACACCCTTGATCCCAGCACTGCACCATGAGTCTATCCCAGGGTCACACGCTCTAGATCCAGCTACCTCTGAAGCCTCACCTGTGGCTGCATGAGGCTTTGGTGCACATCTATATGAAAGCAGGATCATGAACCCTTTGCAGTATTTGCTGCACCCCACAGAGTGCGTGTGTCCACCCCCAGTACTATAAGCCAGACGTGCAAACAGAAGCAGCCCCACTGGGAAGGACAGAGCACTGGGATGGGAGCACAGTGGAGCAGTGTGACCATCTGAATGAAGCCCCAAAGATGCCCACATTCTCATCCCAAAGTCCTGCTTTGCTGATGGTATCAAGATCCTTGAGGTGGAACAGAAGCAACCCAAATATCCATCAGTGGGTGAATGGGTAGAGAATGTGGCCATCCATACAGTGGGAGGTCATTTAGCCTTCACTGGCTACAGACTCTACTGATGAGTCTTGAGGAAATTATACCAAGGGAAATAAGCAGTCACAAAAAGACAAACACTGTATAAGCCACTGATAGCACTGGTCCAAAGCAGCCAAACTCCTGCAAGCAGAGTACTGTAGGTGGGGGTTGTGGAGGCTGAGGGCGCTGCAGCCCAATAGGTATAGTTTCAGGATTTGCAAGATGCAAGGGTTTCACAGGCTCACTGCACAACAGTGTAACAATTCACACTACTGAACTGCACACCTGGCAGATGGTTAAGATGGGAATCTTTATGTGTCTTTTACCACAATTTTAAAAATTAATTTTTAAAAACAAAATCCTAAGATGAATAAAGTACCCTGGATTTTCAAAGTGGGCCCAAGGTCATACAATGTCCCTAGAGAGTGTTGAGAGTAAACAACTATAGATCCAGATTTGACTATACAGCAAAGTTTGTCTTTAGGAATAAGGGAAATAAACTGGACACAGTGGCACACAGCTGTAATCCCAGCACTCTGGGAGGCCAAGTAGGAGGACTGCAAGTATGAGTTCCACCTAGACAACTCAGTGAAACATTGTCTCATAATAAGAAGGGGGGCTGAGGATGTGGCTCAGTGGTAGTGTATCCCTGGGTCCAACCCTCTTGTACTGCAATTAATAAGGAAAGAAGGAAAACATTGGCAAGAAAGTGAGCACTGAGAGGCTTCTACAGGTAGTCTGAGAAGAGTTTCAAAATGATGGGAGCTGGACACAGCATCATATGACTGTAATCCCAGCTACCTCAGAGGCTGAGGCAGGAGGATGGCAAGTTTGAATACCCCTGGGCAACTTAGCAAGATTCTGACTCAAAAGAACAAAAGAGTTATGCACACACAAAGTCCTGGTTCTCACCCCAGGAAGTATGGTCTGTGATACACTAAAGGGTAATAAAGATTCCAGGTAAATCCAGATACATCAGGTAAATCCAAACAGGTATCTTCTGTACAAAATCAATTACAATGGCATCTACTTTTGTGATTTCTTTTAAAAATATAATCTGAAATAGTACTAGTACTTTTGATATTTTGTATTTTTAAATTCAAACACTGGATCCAGGTTGAATTTGTTTGTAAGGAATAAGGATATAAGTCATGAGGTAGTTCAACTTTCCTTCCTCTAAGTAGCTATTTAGTCAATATATAATGTTTTACCACTGACTTTAAATGCCAATTTTTCTCATGACATACAAACATATGCATCCCCATGCCCTACACATTGGCAACATGTGTTCACACACATGAACACACAGAGTCATGCAAGGTATGTGTACATATGCATGCACATACCGCACATGTAAACACAGAGAAGCACACGTGTGCACATGAACACACACCATGTCTTAGTTATTCTTTTCCTTTTTCTTTTTTTTTGAGACAGGGTCTCGCTATGTAGTTTATGCTGGCCTTGAGCTCACTAGGTAGTCCAGGCTGACCTTGAACTCACTGTGATGCTCCTGCCTCAGCCTCTCATGCATTGGGATTACAGGTGTGCAGCACTAGTTACTTTTCTTGTTGCTAAGACAAAATATCCAGCATCACAAGTTAAAGGAGGAAAGGTTTATTTCAGCTCACAGTTTGTCGAGGTTTTACTCCGGAGTCAGCTGGCTGCAAGGAAGAGTGGTATGGCAGAGGGGTATCACAGAGGAGAAACAGTCCATGGCATGGAGGGGAAGGCAGAAGGCACCGAGCCAAAAGCAGCAGCCCACCTCTCCCTTTTATCCCTTCCAGGCTATCCACCTTCTGGGTGGCACCAACCTCACCCAGGGTAGGCCTTCCCATTACCCACACCCAGAACTATGCTAAGCCAGTTATTGTAATCACACACCCTGAATCCAAGCATCACACACCCTAGATCCAGCCAACCCTGAAAAGCCCCACCTATGACTGGTATGAGGCTTTGGGGAGACATCTACATACAACCCATAACACACAGGCATACATGTGTGCCACCATGCCTGGCTAGTCTTCTTCCTTATATATCTTGTTCTTCCAGAGCCCAGAGACATACTTTATAAGACAGTTTGTTGCAGTTCTGGGGATTAAATCCAGGGTCTTGTGCATGCTAAACACATGCTCTTCCCTGGGTTTCTTGTACACTTTCTGGTGGTTTTTTTGGTACCAGGAAGTGAACTCAGGACGTTGCACTTGCCAGGCAGGTGCTTGTGCCACTGAGCTACATCCCCGGCCCTTTCCATGAGTTTTTCTTAAAAAAAAAAAAAAAAGACAATAAAAGGATCCCCTTTTATTCACAGGTATAGCTGGATAAGTAGACTTGTTTATAACCATACTTCCAAAATAGTTTTCAAAAATATTACCAAATTCTTTGCTAGCAGCTAACACATCCAATTATCATGACCCTAATTTTTGGTGCATAATGTACACTAGGCAGCAATAGGAAAGCTCAAACTGGTTAACTGATTAACTATCTAATGTTCAGGCAAAACTCCATTTATGCCAGGTGTGGTGGTGCATGCCTGTAATCCCAGCACTCGGGAGGAGGCTGGGGAGGAGGCTGAGGGAGGAGAATCGTCATGAGTTTGAAGCCACCTGTCTTAGTTGCATTTCTCTCATTGCTGAGACAAAATACCTGACACCCAGAATTAAGGAAGGAAAGGTTTATTTAGCTCAGTTTGTGGAGGTTTCAGTCCATGCTCAGCTGGCTCCAAAGCAGAGTGGCACATGGCAGAGGGCAACAATTCATGGTGGTCGAAGATAGCAAAAGCAGCAAGAGCAAAGGGAGGAGTGGCAGCAAGCAGCCTTTCTCTCCCTTACATATGCAAACTACCCACCCCTAGGCAGGTGTAGCCCTCATACCCATAATCTCAGCATTGGACCATGAATCAATCATATCTCTAGAAGCCTGCCCCTTGACCACAGGAGGCTTTGGGGAGACATCCAAACACAAACCACAGCACTACCCTATGCTACACAGTGATCTGAGGGCCAGTCTGAACAACATAATGAGATCCTGTCTCAAAAAAAGAAACCCTCCATTTATGGTAGCCGGGCATAGTGGCAAATACCACTAATCCCAGCACTCAGGAGGCTGAGGCAAGAGGATCACCATGAGTTTGAGGCCAGCCTGGGCTACATAAGCAAGTTCAAGGCCAGCCTGCACTGCGTAGCGAGTGCAAAAACAAAACATCCCAAAAACAAACAAACAAACAAACTACATCTGTAGCCTCTTCTTGATCAATTTCTGTTCCCAGTTCATGGTTACCATCTTGTTGACTTCCTGCTGATTCTGTCTATCTGACTGGCTGCCAGATCGACCAGACCTGCCACTTCACCAGCCACTCCTCTGTCTAAAATTAGTAGATGTGTTTCCATCATAATATTCTTCAATTTCAGATATTTGGGTGGCACTGAGGCTATCCAGTCTGAATCGTGACACTCTGCCTGTAACCTTTCTGATTCAGTTGTGGGAACATCAAAGCAACCCCATGCTTCCTTTGGGAGGCACCTTCTGGGAATTTGGGATGCAGCACTACTGCTCAGCTTTCTGTGAAGTTCCTTCCTAGCACAGCTGACATCCTGCATCTCTCCTAGGCTTTGCAGAGTCATGGTCACCAACCCCTTATCAGAAGTGATCAAACAACGTGGTTCAAAGTTTGATGAACCAGAAGTGTGGGCTAATGCTGCAGTCAGCATGTCCACTGCCCTTTTCTCTTCTATCAGTCTCTGAGCTGATGGTCAGGAAAAATCAACCATAGCATAAGAAACAGAAACCTGATGGCATCCATGTTTTTAGATTTAACTAAATCCACTGCAGAGGGAACACCTACATATTTAAAAGGAATTTCTGCTTTTGGGTCCACATATTTTAGTTGACTTTCTCTCTTGGTTGATAAAAACATAGGGAAATCCCTGTCCAGCCAGCTGTCCCTGTGCATCTGGAGTGGCGGATATAAGTCTCAACATCCTGTAGAGCAGAAACTTCAAATCTCTAGGTCAACCTCAGGAATGTCCAAACCACAGGGAACCACATCGGTGGCCACCAAAACTTTAAAACGACTTCTCTGAAGTCTTTCAGTGTAATTTCTCTTTGTGACTGTGCAGTGTCCCTGTGTGAACACTGGGCCTTCTGCTTTATGTGTTTAATTCATGACCATTTCAGTTACAATCTTCCTGATTTCGCAGAAAATAATAGCTCTCCCTTCAGACCCACTGTAGTCTTGAAGGAAGTCTCCATTAGTTGAGGTCTCTGAGACCAGTGGCACTGGGTGGCCAAATGTTCCACACTAGTTGCAGCCTTTTGAGTCATTTTTTCAACAAGGACAATGTATTCATCTGGATTATATATTTTTTTCTTCAACTTTATATACCCACTGTGGGCACGTTGCAGAAAAAAGTAGTCAGGATTATATTCAGAATCAGTTTTGTAGGATTTATGGATAATATGTTCAATTTGTTTAGAAAAACCTAAATCTAACATTTGATCCACTTCATCAAATGCTACATGATATGGTTTAAAAAGATCCAAACAACTCTTTGATACAACCAAGGTCCCAACCTAGATGTCAATTCCATTTTGAATATGATTGCTTTGGCTTTGATATGATATTCTACCATATAAGGCAACACTGAGTTCCTAGTTATATCTTTGAAGTCTTTGGCTATTTGGTTTGCCAGTTTCCTTGTTGGAGCCCAAACAAGAACCCTTGGTAAGTAGTTTTAAAAAATTGTTTCTTGATTTCTTTGGAGCCTTTTATTCAAGGGTATGGCAAAAGAGAATGTTTTTCCCGTTTCTATCTGTGCTTCAGCAATTAAATCTTTCCTTCATATATAGGGCCAAAGGTCTTAACTTGAATAGGAAAGAGATATGTTACCGCTTGAATTTTCAGAAGCTTTGTACTAATCTCTTCAGAAACAGAGAAACTGGAGAAGTCTCCTTCTTCCTGTTCACATGTTAGTGTCTCCTCTAGTTAGTTTCTTATCACTTGATTCATGAGCACTTTCTAAAGATGACACTCATTTTTTTCCCTCACATTCACAAGTATTTCCCTTTAATAGGTCCTTTCTTCCTGATTTATGAGATATGGAAATTCATCTGAAAGTCTATTAAATTCTTCTTCAGTGTTTCCTTTTAGCTTCTCTTTCATTTTCGCTTCTTTGGGTTTGGGAGCATCCAGATCATTTGTAACACAATTTTCTCTTGTCTCCGATGGTGCCTCGATTTCCTTCTGTCACTCCAGAGTGGTGTAATGTGTTTTCAGCTTCTCTTGTTTATATCTTCATAGACACTCTTTTGTTTTTCCCGCCTTTGGCTCTCAGACTCTTCCAAGTGTGCTTCCAGCTCTATAATCCTCTCCCCAAGGAGTTTCCCAGACACTACTGGCCCTTGCCCCGCCCTCCAGGCACAGTGACCACTACAGGCAGTGACAGTGTGAAAGGAAGTGGGGACAGGGTGTCTGCCTGCCAGCCCGTGTCAGCTCCTTCTTCCATTTTTGTTTTGTTTTGTTTTGTTTTTTCCGGTACCGGGAATCGAACTCTCAATGTTGCGCTTGCCAGGCAGATGCTGAGCTAAATCCCCAGCCCCTTCCATGTATTTCTTAAAATAATTTTCATATTCAGTAACCAGAAGCTGACCTCAAGTGACTATCCTGATAACAAAATATTTTCTCTTTCAGTGGACAAATTCATGACAGTATGGCACGCTTACCTTCCTTAATGCTTCCTGACCTTTGAGTAGGAGAGGCCTGGGGAGGAGGAATCTGTGCAATGAGTGGCTGCTGAGGTAGCTGCTGAATGATGGTGGCAGGAGGCTGGGGGACCTGAGAAGAGCCAGGTGGTCACCGGCCTGAACGCAGCCTGAGAGACAGCGCTCCGCACTACTGCAGCCAGCCAGCCCGTCATTCCCACGCTGCCATTCACCCGTCCACTTACTCCTCCACACATACATCCACCTACCTTCTCACATCCACCCACCCACCCACGCGCCACCCATTCCTCTACCCACCGGGCTGTCCCTCCCTCCTTCCTTCTAGTCATCCATCCACCACCCCCATGCTCTGCCTATTCATCACCTGCCCACCCATGTACCCTTCCGCCTATGATACTCTCTTATTTCCCTCCACTCACCCATGCAGTCCATTGATCCATTCTTCCAGCCATCCATCCTTTCCCTCCTCCATTCACTTATCTATCTACTCATCCAACCCTCTACCCATCTATACATCCCTCTTTTCCTTAGTGATCTATTCATCTGTCCATTAGTCTATCCATCCACCTACTCACCCATATATACATCTACCTGTCCATCCACCTATGCTTCTGCCCACCCATCCATCTACTCATCCACCCACCCACCCACCCATCCATCTCTTCATCCAGCCTCTATCCACCAACCCATCTATCTACCCATTCATTCACCCATTTCTCTGTTATCTGTCTATCTATCTATCCATCCATCCATCTATCCTTCAATTAAAGGAGAACTTTAAATAATTTAACACCAGAGGTTGAATAAATGATTGAATAGAAAGATACTTGAGTCTGGATATACATGGCATTTTTAATGATTCCCACATTTCTTGTCTTCAGCAGAGTAAGCTTATGTCTGGTTTCATTAAAAAAAATCTTTATTATACACATTTAACACAGGATGGGCAGTCATTTTAAATTTTAGTCATCTTAATAGGGGTATAGTGGTAGTTCACTGTGGTTCTCATTTGCATTTCCCTAATGACTGATGATATAGGGACTCCTGTGTTGAGTGGCTGGATCACCTGATAGGTGCTCATAGTTCTGCCCCAGTGACCTGTCTATCCTAGCACCAACACCAACTTGATTAATTGCTGTGTCTTGACCATGCACTGTAGGACATGTATGGAACTTAATGTGAGTAGAAGCTTGAGTTTCTCTTCTGAGTGAACATAAATGAGCAATAATTTCCAGCAAACAGCAGAAAAACCTGGGTTTTTGATCCTTTGGGTGAAGTGCTGGGGATGGAATTCAGGAGTGCTTTACCACTGAAGCACATCTCCAACCTTCTTTATTTTGAGACAGAACCTTACTAGGTTGCCAGGCTGGGTTTGAACTTGCAATCTTCCTGCATCGGGCTCCTGAGTAGCTGGGATTACAGGCATATACCACCATACCCAACTCAAATCTGTCTTAAACCTCTTCTGGACGTGCAAGTCCAGCATGACCTTGTCTCCACTGACAGAAGAATGGCACAGACCAGGGACTTGTGAGTTTTCCTGCAGAGAACCAGGCAGTAAATTGCTTAGGCTCATTGGCTATGTTGCAGCCTGGCTGGGATGTCCTGCTCTGGACCACAGAGTGACCACAGATGGATACTACTGACCTGAAGAGCAGTCATAGGCAGATGTGGACACAGAGTCCTGGTCCCACAGAACTTCATGAACGTTGAAATGCTCATTTCTCATTGTGTTCATGTGTTACATTACAAAGTATTATTCCTTTTATTTCCCAAACATTAAAAAGTAGGGCCAGGAGAAGGATTACAAGTTCAAGCCCAGTCTAAGCAACTATGTCCCATAATAATAAAAAAAAATTTAAAGGGCTGAGAATGTAGCTCGGGGCCTGGGTTTAACCCCCATGATTGCAAACAGAAACAAAAACAACTGGTGCTTGGTATAGTTCAGTGGTAGAACACTTGCCTAGCATGCCTGAAGTCCAGGGGTTGATTCTTAGCACTGTAAAACAAGTGGACAAAACAAAACCTGAAACCATCCTTGTCCCTTGAGGTATATAGAAGAGTAGGCAGCCAGGCAGGCCTGAAGCCAGCCCATATCCCTGGAGAGGACAGTGAGGTGTCCCAGAGCCTCTGCACCTTTCTTGTTGCTGGGACTTCCTGCCTCAGGGTCTCCCAGCCAGCTCTGGGGTGTTCACCAGCGCCCAGGGCCTACTGGCCTCAGGCTTAGATTGAGACATATAGGCATGAGGGTCCTGATAAACATGTGGGGACATAGCCCATCAGCAAAGAGGAACCTGGGGGGCCTCACTCGCACAGATTCCCAAGGCTGCCCCTTCCCAGTCTGTTCCTCTGCCATAGCTATTGCCAGCATCCCTTGCTGAAAGACAAGTGTCTTCCCTGACACTGACCCAGCCCAGAGCCTCCTCCCCTTGCCTGCCCCCTCTTCTCCCTACACACTCTGCACCCCTTCACACTGAGTGCCCCAGCCTCTCCATGCCCGGTCTGGGCTTCTGGCTTCTCTGGTGCCATGGCCTCTGGATACCACTCCCTTGTGCTGAAGAAGTCAGTTGCTTTCTATTGCTCACAACCCAGAATGCTGAAAACCGCAGGAAGCTCTCAACGCAATAACACCATTTTCTCTGCAGCACTCTGCCCTTGATACTAGGGTCTCAGCACACCTGGTCATTAGGAACTTATGGAATGAGACAGTGTGTTTTCCTGAATGCAGGGCCATACTTCCACTCACTGGGAGGCTGGGGCGGTCTGTGCGCCTCAAGGACTGAGGAGGACTTTCTGGAGGCCCCACAGCACCCAAGTCATGCGTCATAGCTGCTGCGCCTCTGAGTTGGCTATGCCTCTGAGTGGAGTCTTGTGCTGCAGGGGCCTCCGGGGGAGGTGGTGGGAACACAGCCCCCATCGCTGTGTCTCCCGACCCCATTCCTACTAGAGCTGTTATTTTCACCTGCCCCCTCTTACCTGGTGTTGGATGATTCTCGGTGGCTCAGGGGCCAGCGGGGGTGGAGAGACAGTGGGGTAGATGCCCACAGGGGTTGCTTCTGGGAGCAGGGCTGGCTCCAGAGCCTCTCCACGTGCCCCCCTCCAGGTGTGGGCCCAGGGGTGCTCATCCAGGAGCTGCTGTTCCTGCAAGGCCAACAGACCCTATGCACCCAGCAAGCTGTGGGGGATCCTGGACCTGTGCGCCAGGCTACCACCCTACCACAGCACAGGGGCCTTTGGTGCTCAGAGCTGTGGTTCAGCTGAAGGCCACCCAACTGAAGTGAGGCCCCAGAGGCAAGACTGAAGACCCTTGTGGGAATAGTACCACTGCTTTTAAAATTTATCAAGTAATTTAAACAAGTGTCTGGTTACTGTTTTCCCAAAGCCAACAGCGTCTAATCACTCTTTCAAGCATGTGGCCCTTGGCCAGATGAGGAGCCAACCTCCTACCCCAGGGTGTTGGGTAACAGATGCAAACCACTTGGGCCACAGGCACCTCTTGTTGCAGGTCAGTTTTGTTTGGATGAAGCCCTGACACCCTAGAATTGTACTTTCCTTGGGAGCTGTACAGTCCTCAACATTGCCACCTCTGACGTGCTTGCCCTGTGTGCCCAGCAGACCACCCTGGGGAATGACCAAGGTGTCCTGTGCTCACTGAACAGTTGTCTGACCGTATTCTTGGCATAAGAAAACCAGCCCCAAGTATTCAAAAGGCCTCCTGGTCTCAGCGCAGTGGGTCTTGACTGCAGTGAGCTCTGCCAGGGGCTGCTGGGGGTACAGGCTTACCAGGGGTCAGGGCCCCACCTGGAGATGGCCAGGGATTTAAAGCCTAGTTTTGTTAAAAAGTACCGGCTCTTTACTTGATCCTGCAGATACCCAGTGGGTAACTAAAAGCTGGAGTATGATTGGCATCTCTGCCTTCATTTTGTGTCCGTCTCCTTTATTACCTTAAGCTCTCGGTCAGATCCCTCCTCAGCCCTGCAGTAGGCCTCTTAATTACATAAGGACTGTCTGTCTAAGAACTGGTGATTCAAGGTTTATTCACCCTTCTTAACCTATCTCACCCCTCTTCAAGACTGAGGACACCAAGATAAGAGTAACTAAGATATTTTCGAGACGTGGGACATTCAAGGGCCTACTTTCAGTGTCCTGTCCCAGGCTTCCTGAAGCAGCACCCTGAAGCCTCTCATCCAAAACTCAAAGACACCTTGGATTCCAGCAGAGCTTCACAGACAGACCACCCATGGCACGACCATTCCCAAAGCAAGGCTCTCTTTGCGTGGGAACTGGACTACCCTCTCCCACCACAGGACCTCTCCAGAGCCAGCTGGCAGAACCGGAGCCGGCATCATGATGAACTTGACTCTTGCCCACCCATGCACTCCAGGAAAGCTGGCTCCTCGCCTTCCTTAGTGTCAGTCCAATCTCTGTCAGAGCTAGGCCCTTAAACTCTTCTCAATCTGGAGTCCTCTCCCATTTTCTTTGCCTTCTCAGTTAAAAGCTTTGCCTGTGTCTTTCATATTTCTTGGCCTGGTTTTCCATTTCTGTTACCAACCAGCCACCCCAACCCTGCCCCACCAGGTGGTATCATGGAGGACAGGGGCTTGGGGATGGCAAGGACATGGAGAGGGGTTGCAGGGGATTTTGGGGTCCTGGAGGAATATGGGATCTACCCAGGGATTCAAGGTCAGCCTAGGGTTTGGAGACCTGGGATGGAAGGACAGGGCCTGGGGGCACCCAGGCTGGGGTGGGGGTCTGGGCCTGGGTTGGGCATGAGACGTGGTGGGACAGGGCCTAGGGAGGCTTGAGGTGGTGTGGGGGGTGCCCGCCGGTGGCAAGAGGCCTGCCCGATGCAGTGCCTACCCGGAGTCTCAGCAGAAGCTCCTTCCTCCTCCTCCGAGCGCTCTGCAGTGCCTTGTTCAACCTGTCCTCGTGTCCTGAGGGAAGCACGTTCTTTGTCCACTGAGGAAGTCTCCGGGCAGGTGGCCAGGTGGTCAGGGATGTCACAGGAGACCTGTCAGTGTATCCCACCACCCCATAGCCCAAGTCCCAGGGCAACCCAGCACCTCCTGATCAGGCCTCCTTGCAAATACTCATCCCAAGAAGGAGGATGAGGGCTGAGAGGGCCATGGTAGGGAGGGGGTACCTTAGGGAGTAAGTCTGACCAGTGGGGCTGGTCTCCTGGGCCCTCGTGCTGAGAGCTCCTGCCCTCTGCGCTCAGAGTGGCAGTAGTACCCCCTGTACTGCACCTGAAAGCCTGGCTCTCACTGATGGAGAGAAGCCCTTAGGTCTGGTGGCTCCAAGCATCTGCTGGAGTTGGACCCTAGGCTCCCTGGAAACCCTGCTCCTGGCACAGGTATAGCCTCAGTTGCCCCCTCACTGGCCCCGGGGTCATGTGGCCTGGTGTGCAGTGCTTCACTGGGATTTAGGGCCCCAGGCTGTGCTCCAAACTCTAGGTGCACCATGTCCCAAAGAATAAGGTGCCTCCTGCTGCCCCTTACCCCAACCTCCCTGAAGTCTAGACCTGGTCACGAGGTAACAGTGAGGACAAGACCAGAGCCCTCACCTGGCCCTCTGAGTTCAGGCTCTAGAGACAGAGCCATGTGGCTCTGGCCTGACAGGACCACTCCCTTCCTCACCCTCAGAAGGGGATGGGGATGAGAACTCACCCGCTCTGGGGCCTTGAGGGAACAGTGGAAGGCCTGTGTAAGAACAGAGGCCTTCCTGCCCCCAGCGGGAAGGAGCATTTTGGGGCAGAGGTAGCTCCCAGGGGCCACTGCCCCTGCTGTCCTTGCTGTCTACCCTGCCCCTGCCTGCGAGGGTCCACGCAGCCCGGGCTCTTACCTGGCACAAGGTGGGTGCCCTCTGAGCCCTCTTCCATGTTCTCTCGTTCTTGCTCCAGCTTCTATGAGGGACAGAGGCTGTGAAGGTGATGCTGGCTGCACTGCTGTTGCCTAGATTGCCATGCCAGGAGGCAGGGGTCGTGCTGGTTGTGTGATCAACATAGTGCCTGTCTTAAACCCAGGGGGTGCAGAAGAGCACCCTAATCACTACCACCGGGCCCTGGATTGGGGCCCCGGTTGGTAAGAGGAGGAATGCAGGTGGGTGACATGGAGGCCTCCCAAACCACCCAGAGTCTAGGCAGGGTAAGAAGATGAAGAGGGGTGTGGGAGTGACCAGGCTCAGCCCTGGGGCCCTGCAGTAAAGCCTGACTTTGGAAACCACTAGAAGAACCTAATTGGTACTACACATGGACACAGAAACAGAAAAACTACGTTTCATTATGAGGGTGAAATCCACTGGGAAGGGTTTGCTTTGAAAGCAGAACATGCTCATAGGTGGTTTGCAGACAGATGCAACTGACTTTGCCCGACACCTTTGTCTCAGGCTCAAAGCTGAGCAGTGTTAGAGTCGTACCTGTTCCAAAAGCCTCAGTGTCAGCCGGGTCATTTGGTCTTCAGCTGATGAGTCCAGCATCTTAGGGGCCTGTGAGGTGGCAAAAGAGGGCAGGCGGCTGTGCCTTACACTCAAGGTCTACAGTGGGGAGCACCTCACCGTGACAGCAGGCTCCCCTGCAGAGGGTTTGGCTCACCTCCTGGAAACCAGCCTTGGAGACCGAGAGCCAGCAGAGTGTACAGGAGGAGGTGTGTCCCTCCCTAGACTGCAGGGTCTGGAGCACAGGAGGCCTGGGTTGCCAGGTTTCCACTGAGTCCTTCCTGAGCTATGTGTCCCTGGGCTCTTTGTAAATACTGATCGGCAAGTGTGGACAGGCAGGGTAAACTGGAGGCAAAGGAGTGGACACCAGACTCCGGGAACCACCCACCTCAGAACAAAGCCTGGAGGAAAGTGGGAAGGAGGCCCTGCCCAACGGCCTCTGCCCTCACGGGGACCTTCAGAGCCAGGAGTGAAAGAGTGCAGTTGGACACTGGGAGGACCGTGGGAGGGGCACCTATGGGGGACAGAGACAGACAGGATGGGCTGGGGCTGGAGGCACACAGCGGGATGCACCTATTGTAGTCAGGGCTTGCAGGGGAAACAACTTAATACAGGATACATAATTTATAGGATTATTTTATAATTGTCACCCAAAAAGTCAAGTACAAAAGAATTCAGGAAATCTGTTCACATACTAAAGACTCAAAGACTCCAGCTGAGGGCCTAGACCTCATGGCAATGTCCTGCATGAGTCCAGCTGAAGACTTAGAGCCCATGACAATGCCTCATGCAAGTCTATTTCATGGATCTGCGCTGGGAAGGCTCAAAGGTCAGTCGGTGGTGGAAGCTAGAAAGTCTGTGCCAGTGGGGTGAAGGATCTGTGCCAGCACGCTGAGGGATCTGCACGGGAGCAGGAAGCGATGCTCAAAATAAGGACCAGAGCTCCCCCAAAGTGAACCGCAGCCATTCTCAATGACAACAAGGTCCCGAGCTCCTCTGACAATGAGAAGAGGTGAGTTCATAACAGGAAAGCCAGCATGACAAGCTCCTCCAGGAGAACCAGCAGCACCGCTTTTTCCTCTCCAGTTCTCCTTTCTATGTTGTTGGCAACAATCCTCAGGTGGGCCCTCCACACCCAGCACCATGCTGATTCTGGGTGTTCAACGGGGTGTTACAGGTTGACCACCAGTTGTCAATTGACCACGGCACCATATGGTCAGCAGCCAGCAGCCAGAGCCTCACAGGACACCTGCCACCACTGCAGGTGGGGACAGCTCTGCGGCGACCTGGGCCAGAGATGAGCTGAGTATAGTCCTCTCAGGAGGACACCCGGCTTTATGGTGGAGCCAGCAAGGACAGAGGGAGGAGGTCACACACTGTGGCTCTGTGCTCCAACTGGCTGAGGTCAGTCCCACTGAGGAGGCGGCTGAAACACAGGCAAGGAGCCCAGCAATGGCATGGCTGGGCCAGCAAGACGGTGGGCCTGAGCAGCACCTGGAACCCAGCTGCCCCTCAACCTGCGTCGAACCCTTGACATTAGCTTCAGAGTCCAACTCGCCCACACTTGGCATTCGTGGTTCTATACATTGTGTGCTTTGTTCCGACCTCACTGATTCTAAGAACCTCAGGCATAGGGAGTGGGGCAGAGGAGATCAGGTGTCCTGATGGAGCCCTCAGAGCAGCTCCTGCTGGATCTGCGTGCAGCCCTCCCTGCTGGGCCTGGAGGCGGGGCTTACCATGCTGCATCCACGCCTCTGCTACAACTGAGCCCTGGCCCTGCACTCCAGGGGGTAGGGTCCTGGAGTCCTCGCTGACACTGCTGGCACTAGCAGACATGGCCACACTTTAGATGTCAGTGTGTGTTCACAACCTTCTTGGTGTTGGCGGTCTTAGGAGACATACAAACAGGAGGGCGGAGTGTGCACAAAATCTGCTAAATCAGTTTAGTCAAGCTGTTGCAAAACTCTAGTGAACTCGATGTAAAATGCTTTGCACCAAGGAATTGAAATGCAACTTTTATTAACACTGGCAGGCTGACAGCAACCAGGTCCAAATCATCAGCCCTGGCTTACAGTAAAATAGAACCTTCTATACATTTTGCAAACATGAAGTACAGAATGGATAACAGGTTAGTCTATAATTGGTTACTTATATTTGGTCACACATTCTTAGGCAGATGTATCTGGGGCAGGTTTAATTGGAGGGGACCATTTATCATGAAGCAGAAAGGCCTAGGGAAAGTCAGGGCTCAAGTAAGATTTAGTGTGACCTTGACAGTGCTAGTCTGCCCCGGGTGGATAGGCCTTGAAACAGATGTTGTTACGGATTATGTCTGTGTGTCCCCTCCAAAGCCTCGTGCGACCTTGGGGCAGGCTATTAGAGTTGAATGATTGTGGGTGTGAGAGCTACACCCACCCTGGGGTGGATAGTTTGCATATGTAAGGGAGAGGAAGAAGCTGCTTGAGGCTATTCCTCCTCCATTCCGCCCTGGTGAGTGCTTGTGGTTTAGTCGTGTGCTGCTGCCCTGAGATGCAGCTCTCTGCAATGTGCCACTCTGCCTATAATCCTGCCAAGTACGGATTAAAACTTCCACGAACTGTAAGCGAAATAAACCTTTCCTTCCTTAAATTTGGGCGTCAGGTATTTTGTCCCAGCAGCGAGAAAAAAGTAACCAAGACAGATGTGTATAGCATTGTGCAGCTGGTCAGATAGAGCTGAGTCAAATTATCCCTGATTTGCAACTGGGTAAGGTCGGCTGAGTCTGACAGCACAATTATGGAGCTATAGGTTTCAAATTCGCCACCACAAAGCCACTCAGGGCAGCTAGGAGAGGAGCCTCGGTGGGATACAGAACACCTCCCACTGGGCATGTTTCTTAGACTCTGTTTTAAGTTTTATTTATCTTGTTGCTAGTGGTCTCAAACTCATGGGCTCAAGCAATCCTCCAGTTCAGCCTCCTGAGTGCTGTGACAGGCACACACTACTGGATCTGAGAACAGTTTTTTGTTTCAGGTTGTTTTTGTGGTACCAGAAATTGAGGGCAGGGCCTTTACACTGAGCTACATTCCCAGATCTTTTTTATTTTTTCATTTTGAGACAGGTCTCACTAAGTTGCTAGCTGGCTAGGCTGGGCTCAAACTTGAGGGATCTCATCTTCCCAGGGTGCTATGTTGACAGATGAGTAGCACTATGCCTGACTTAAGAACAGGTTTCTAAAATAGAGTCTTTAAAAAAAATTGTTGTTTTGAAACAGAGTCTCACTATGTAGTTCAGGCTACCTTTGGACTATGTAGCCCAGGCTGGCCTTTTAACTCAAGGCAACCCTCCTGCCTCGGCCTCCCGACTGCTGGAATTACAGGCATGTGCTGCCACCCCTGACTTTTAAAAACTTATAAAGGTTTTACATTTACAGAAAAGCTGAGATGGTTGTGCAGTTTCCACACATCCCACACAACCTTCCCTTATTCCTAACATCTGCAGTCGCTGCAGCAGTGTTGCAGGTAATGAACCAACCCAGAGGCTCTGTTAGCAGCCTCTCCTTAGTTTGCCTCCTGAAGTCTCTACGTGGGCTGTGTGTAGGGTCCCTGTGACCTGCCATCTCCTCAGCTCCTCCTGGCTGGACTGTGTCTTAGACTTTTCTGAGCTCACAGGTGTCCTGCACAGGGGCTTTGCAGAGTTCCCACTTCTGTGACGCTTTCTCCGTGTATGCCAGGGTTGTGGGCTTTGAGGGGCCATGCCCCCTCAGAGCTGTCACCCACTAAGGCGCCGACAGGTTCTCTGCTGTGAAGCGACTCCTCCCCTCCTCACCCACCATCTTTGGGGGAAGTCACTGTGCACAGTGACTGTGTCTTTGAAAGAATCTTTGAAAAGGAAATTATCATTTCCTTTTCCTTTCTTTTTTCTAGTGTTTTGAGATAGGGTCTCACTGGTTGTGACCTCTCCATCTAGGCAGGTGAGCCTCCAACTCACAGAAATCTTCCTGCCTCAGCCTCCTGAGTGCTGGGATTGCACCATAATGCCCAGCAATATTGTGGCAGAAAAACCAGTATCAATCCAAATGGAAGACTACACCAAGGAATTAGAAGGCAACTTTTATTACGCTAGTGGGCTGGGGAACCCAGAGGCTCAAATCACGCGCCCAGAGTCAGGTTTGAGTTCAGTTTAAACATGGTTTATGAGTGGGAAGTGTAAAGCTGACTGCAGGTTATTACATGATTGGTTACATGGAATACAAGAATTACATCATATTTTGTCAGGCAGGTTTACTTAAAAGGAATTGTTTAACATTCTGGAAAGGAGGGGCGGAGGTGTGAGCAGAGCAAGTAGAATTAAATGGGCCCTTGAGGCCCTCTGTCCCAGACAGGAAGTCCCTGAAACAAGTTGGAAACAATGTATACTTTTCTAATTACGGAAAACAACCTGGACACACTCAAGTTGGCCCAGCCCATTATCAAAGAGAAGTGGATAGTTAAGGCTGACTATCTAGGTGACAGGCAACATAAGCATAGTCACAGGCTATGAATTGATTTCTAACTTTTGCTATGCCTACAAGTCTGCTGTTCTATAAGTGTGCCCTTACAATATAACTTATCCTGACAGATTTTCCATAGTTGGATATAGACTAAAGTAAGATGCGGGTGGACACTTGCAGAATTTCTCTAAGTGTCCATGGGATGACTTGGGTCTGCGCTTGGGTGAACTGGCACTTGGTCCTTCCCAAAGTTTTAAATGTACCAACACATATTAGGAGATTCAGGAAAATCTGGGTGGCTGGCTGCTCTTGGGAAGCCTGATCCCACAGTCCTCCTGCCTGCCGCACGTGCACATCCCATGCTGCCTCATGTGCACGCACGCCAATGACAGAGCGTTGAGTCTGGGAGTCAGGAGACTCAGCCCACCTGGCACAGGATGAATGCTTCCTTGCGGCCAGGTTCCCAGGGCTTCCTGAAGGCCTATTTGCAGTGTTGTCTCTTAGACTCTAAATATCTCCCGAGCCTGCAGGCTGACTTGGGTGTGAGGTATCGTTTCAGAGCTAAGGGGGGCATTGCTACTGCTGTTTAGTCTGTTATTTAAGAGGGAGCACATGGAAGCACATGGGTCCTCATGACAGACTGCATCCAAAAGAAGGCTCAAAATAGGTGAATAGAATAGAGGGAGCCAGAAACCCACTGCCTGACTGTCAAGAACAGACAAACAACACATTACATGTACTACGGTGATAGGGCATATCTGAAGGGGCTGAAGGAATATTGCAGAAGGAAGGGGCTCTGGGTTGTGGGCTTGCACCAGACGATCTACTCCATCTTGTTTTTCATGCCTTCTAGTTACAGACCACTTGGCGAGCTAGCCAACCCCTAGCTTCATTAGCCCCACTGAAGTGAGTTCTGAGTATATTCACTTTTTTTTTTTTTTGTATATGGTCTTGCTATGTAGGCAGGCGGGCTTTGAATTTGAGGGGGAGTCTTCCTGCCTCTGCCTCTCAGTGTTGGGATTACAGATATGTATCACCATGCCAAGGGTGTTCACCTTTCTCATGGGGTGGTCAACATAGGCCCAGCCGTTCAGCAAATTTCTCTCTGCCCTGGTTTGTAATTCCCACCCCGTGCTCAGACTCCAACTGAGGAGTTAGCATCTTTTCTACATTAATACCAAATGCGACGCCACTGCTTTCTTAAAAACCATTTGCAGTATATGTGGAAGATCCCAACAGTTCATTCTCCCATCAGGAGAGGCTGCTTTGCTCTCTCCCTGGTGGGATTGCTTCATCGCTTACACCGCACCCTCATGAGAAGGAAAGGCTGTCGGCCTGAGCAGCCTTCCTCCAGGGCCCCAGCACAGGTGTATTCCAGGTATCTTCAGCTCCCTTATCCGGGCACTGCTTTGTGGTAGAGTCTGCGAGCCCAGACGCATAAGGGCTGGGACGAGTTCATAGGTACGGGAGAGTCCTCGGTGGCTTCCTGTCCCCGCAACTCTGGCACCTGCAGGGCCGCAGTCCTGGTCCTGAGGGGAGTAATTCTAGGCTGACCCTGGCTTTTGGCCGCTTGGGTCCAGCAAGCTAGGGGACGGCGTGTTGGCAGAGGCAGAAGTGGTCACAACAGGGCCAGGACGGAATCGCAGTGATCCTGCGGGGAGCTGTCTGCAACCGCACAATAGGCAAGCCTGACACCAGCCCTACAAGACCCGGGACTGGGGCATCAGCCAGCGCGCGAGGGGCGGGGGCGAGGCTGGTTATAACCAAGACCGGCGCTGTGGCTGGCCTGGCTAACCCTGCCCCAGTTCCCCAGGTTTTGCGTGTACCTACGTGCACCCAGACCAGCGGCCTCAGGTGGGGCCTGGCCCACGCAGTGTAGAGCACTCGCTCCCAGAGGACTTGCCAGTCCCTGCTTCTCCAGCCGTGGGACGGCGCTCGAGCTCGCGGAAAGCGGCGCGAACCTCTGCGGGGTACCGACCAATCACAACGAGCCCCGGGAACACTATCCTCCTTTCATTGGTCCTGCTTGGGAGGGCGGGTACACAAGTTAGCCAGTCAATGACTGGCAGAACAAAACGCCGCTTGGGCTACGCTGACCGGATGCGCATGCGCGCAAGGGTCATACGGCCTTCGATTGGATGCGCTATGGGGCGGAGCTACGGAGCTGACAGTTGCAGGCGGGGAGGGCGAGCGGGCGAAGGGGAGGGAGTGTAAATAGAGCGAGGGCGGCTCCGCGCTGGTTCTGCCACCTCCGGACAACTCGGGGAAGCGCCCCAGAGGGCGATGGAAGAAGATGAGCAAGAGCAGCGGCGCAAGAAGGTTGAGGCCGGGAGAGCGAAGGTAAACAGCAGAGCTTGCCTCTTCATCGCGCTGCTGCGACTAGAAATCCTCAGGGTAGCTTTGGTGCCCGACCCCCGCGCCTGCCCGGAGCGGGCGCGGTTGAGCGGGGCCTCCAACACAGGCGCTGCTCTTTCTGCCGAGGCCCTGTCCTTTCTGCTGGCTCTGCCGCTGAGAGCCCGCCTCCTTGCCGCCGCCATCTTGAATCCGCCGCCCTCGCCCCGTGCCCGCCCCCGCCGCTCACCCAGCCAATCATCTGCCAGGATGCCTGGCGCCTCGCTGGCTGGCCGGCGCGGGGCAGACTGTGTTGGGCATCACGGGGCGGGGCTACGCCTGCGCAGTGGGCTCGGTGTTAGTTGCGCTTTGGCGTAGCACTGTTCTGGGAAACTGCTACCCCGGTCGTTCGCCCAGCGCACCTGGAGGTGCTGTGCCCCCCAGAGCCCTCCATGGCCTAAAACTTCATTTAGAGTTTTACTTTCTTGGGAATGCAGGTCTTTCATCTATGAAAGTCCCGAAGATGTCTCTGGACCTGTGAGCCCCACGCGCACGCCCGACTCGGCCTTGCGAGGGCTCAGGTCCTGGAATTAGGTGTCCGAGGGGTGTTCTTGTCAACTTCCCTTGTCCTGGTTTTTACATTTAAGAAAAATTGCTCAGCTCCTCGCTGCCCGGGAAGCAGGGATGGGGCGTGGTTGAAAGAGAGAACCTGGGCACTGCGGCCTTGCTCTCGGGCTGCAAGACCCCAGGTAGAACGCCGTGAACCTGCTGTATTGATTTTGTGGATCAGCTACTGGGAGGCATTCAGAGCTCATTCCTTTCCTTGGATCAACCAAGTGCCACTGCATCACAGAAGCATCCAGAATACATAGTAATGGGTGTGACAGTCACGGGACAGCAGTGTCCCAAGACAGGCTGAGGGCGGTGTGGTCTCGTTTCCGATGGCAGGTGTAAAGATAGAGGGTGGCTCCCTTGTTCCTCCCACAGGTACACAGGCCAGGAGATGAAAATGAGCCTAAACAGACCTTAGCACTTGGATTTGAGTAACTGAGCCCTAAGCCTGTGTGCTTTGTAAGTAGTAGATGTGCTTATGGGAGATGCCTCCAGTTGAGTGACAGGCTAGACGCGATCTGTGCATCGGAAGGGAGCTCTGTCACAGGTGACTGACTGCATCTGATGGAGGAGAGCACCAAGATCACAATATGAAACAAAACCAGACCCTGTCTCAAAATACAAAAAGGCGAGTGGATATAGCTTAATACTTACCTTTGTCTGGGTTTAGTCTCCAGTACTATACACATACAAAAGAAGAAGAAAATGGAGTTGATTTGTGAAAGAGTGTCCTTCGAAGATTTTTTTCTCCTGTAAGTGCTCATGGGAAGTTGTTTTTTTTTTTGTCCACAAAATCGTGCAGTTCTGTTATTTGTACAAAGGTTTGTTGAGTAACTTTGCTTCTGTGGCTACAGTTTCCATTTTAAGGAATGGACATCCCTCTCTGAAAAACTGGTGTTTGGTCTCATAGTTTTTGAATAAGATATTAGTGGGAGATGGTGCTTGATTGTGGTTGAAAAGCCTTGGATTTGAGGGACTGAATAGAGCTGGGTTGTGCCTTCTGATGGGTGACATTCTGTGGAGGTCCCTGGTGCTTTGTTGAGCTGTGTCATGAAAAATAGAACATCTGATTCCGTAAAGGAAGATGTTAGATTGACCTGGCTTAATTAATTTTTTGCTATTTCTGTACCTTGTCTCAGAATCTATGGCTAGGAAGTTTTGGCTGGGTGGTATATTTCCTTGATTAGGGGAAAATGGGGACAGGAAGGGAACATCTTAGCTTTTTATATTATTTTAATCTCGAACTGTGCCTGATTAAGCCCTCAGCATTTTAAATACATTTTTTTTAAAAAAATTATTTTTCTTTAAACTGCCAAGGGTCAGAAAAGCTATTTTGTCAATTAGTTGTATAGTTTTCTTTTGTTTGTATCTACGGATAGTTAACAGTTCTCACCAGTATACTCTGGATATGGTCCTGAACTTACTGCTGGTGTCCTAGTTGTCAATGAAAGCAGTATTTAGGGAAAGTGGTCTGTTGGCCAGGTGTGGCTGAGTGGAGTGAGTGAGCCCAAGCCTCATGTTCCCCACAAGTCTGTTGACTTTGTGGTTTTGTTACTTTTTTCTCATTTACCTTTGTCTTTACTACTTCTCTACATTTTTGCGCAGCTTGCTCACTTCCGACAGAGAAAAACAAAAGGTGACTGTGCGCATTCGAAGAAAAAGACGGCGAAGAGGAAGGGCCCGGCTGTCGATGCGCCTGTCCAGGAGGAGAGTTCGCTAGTCACCCAGGATGGTGGGCTCCTAGATGGAGGCGACATTTGCAAAAGCTCAGCATGCAGCAACAGCCCAGACGGGCCTGGAGGGACATTTGCAGCTCAGGTAGATTTGCTCAGCATCGTGTTTTAATGTTTTACTCATCTTCCAGTTATTGCTAGAGTAATTTACTAAAAGTAGTTTTTGATCTGTTTTTTTGCTACTCAAAAGTGAGAAAAGAGGGTTTTATTTTAATTTACAAATGGTAAGTACATATTTTGTGGTCTTATACTTAATAAATGTTTTATCTTACAGGATTTTAAAAATTTGGTATTGATATGCTTTATAGGCAGGTGTCATTTTGATATAGAAGCTTTATAAGTGTGAGTTCTTGATGGCTGTCAGCCCTTCGCCAGGTGTTGCACATTTAAAACCTAATACCTCTTCGCCTACTTTCACATGCACTTGTTTGTTATTTTTTTGATTGCCTGCTTTCTGAAGGAGGGGAGGGATAGAGGTATGACAGAAAAGCTGGCCTCCTGCTGCTCAGGGCCTGTGAGCTGTGTGGAGTTTATCCGTGGCAGGTGAGGCTGGTGAGTGGATGTTGAGAGTGCTGAGGGTGTAGCCCTCCCAGCCTTCCTGGGGCCTCCAAACCTGCCCTTTGATGGGCTCTCCTTGAAATTTCTCATGTGGATTGTCAATGAGAGGCCTGAGTCTCACATGTGCCTGCTATTGCAGCTCAGGGCAGCTTTAGGTGTTTCTGGGATGAGCTGGTAAACTAAATTTTCCTGAAATTGGAAAAGAATTTGGAGGACAGAATTTGGCTTACAGTCATGACATGTCTGGCTTACCTTATTGGAAAAAATGTAACTACTGCCAGTTTGTGATATTCTGCCTATAAATCTGCTTTTGCTTCTTTTGAGTGATACAAGACCTTGCCATGGTATCCTTTGTGCCCTGGGATGTCTGGATCTCTCTGGTGACCATGCCTCTGCTTGCCTGCATCCCTGGCATTGTTTGTCAGTTGCTGTTCATCATTATCCTCTTTCTCTGTCCCCCAAAGTAGGGCAGCTCTTTTCAGTGGTCTTGTCTCAGCTGGCTGAGAGTTAAAGCTGTTTTGAGAGGGCCTTATGCTTGCTGCTAGTGGCGCTGCTCTTTATGTTTCTTGCCTAGCCTCTTTGAGTGGGAAAAAGCTTGTTGCACATAATTAAAAATCTTGTAATTTTAGGGCTGGGGGTTTAGCTCAGCGGCACAGCACCTGCCTGGCAAGCACAAGGTTGTGAGTTTGATTCCTGGTATCAGAGAAAAACTAAAAAAAAAAAATCTTGTAATTTTTAGTTACTCATTTTGAAGTAATGTTAGACTTGTACAAAAAAATTTGTAAAAACTAGCAGAGTTTCAGGTTACCTTTTACTCAACTTCTTGAAATCTTATATGATGTTAGTATAATTACCAAAATCAGTTTTAGTTGCCGTTGAAACAATGCTGTGAGTCTGCCTGTTGTTCCACTAGTGCTCTTCCAGTCCAGGGCTCTCTATTGCATTGCATGGTCTTGTTTCCAGGTCTCCTCTGGCTTGGGGCAGTCTCTCAGCCTGCCTGTGACATTTTTGAAGAGAATTATCCAATGGTTTTTGCAGAATGCCTACAAAGCATGAGTCGATCTGTCTGGTCTTGTCCTCATGATCAAATTTAGGTTCATTGCTTATGGACGTGGTGACGCTTCCAATCAGTGCGCCTTATGAGGGCATGTGGTGTCCGTGCTTGGCAGCATCTGTCAGTGGCGATAATAACTTGATCACTTAGTGTGGTTTCTCCTGGTAGAACAAGTATTATGTTCCTTGCATGGTTAACTGTATTGTGTAGAGATATGCAGACACTCTGTTGGTACCTGTTTCTCTCTTCTTCTTTTTTTTGAAACAAGGTCTCATTGTGTAGTTCAGGCTGCCCTTGAACTCACTTTCTAGCCCAGGCTGTCGTTGAACTTACATCGATCCTCCTGTCTTAGCCTCCCAAGTGCTGGAATTATAGGCATGTGCCACCACACCTGGCTTATACTTTCTTCCACTAACATTGATGTCTATTAATGATTTTTTCCAGAATAATTATTACAGTAGTGTTGGCCAAGTGATGAGCTTTTCTGTCCATCACACCTGCTGCCTGTGTCACATGGTGTTCTGAAAGGAGGAACTGTTGCTTCTCCCAATTTGCTTATGTTTGTTAGTATGGACTCAGTATGGATATTTATTTTATTTTATAGGCTTTTTGTTTTGTTTTTTGAAACAGGAACTCATTATGTAGTTCAGGCTAGACTTGAATAAATTATGCAGTTCAGGCTGGCCTCAAATTCACCAAGATCCTCCTGCCTCAAGCCTCCCGAGTGGTGAGATTACAGGTATGCATCACCATGCCTGTCATATTTCATTTGAGCTGGGTCGTGGTATGTAGTCCAGGCTCGCCTTGAACTTGAGGTTGTTCTCTATCGTACTCCCAAGTGCTGGGATTGTAGGCGTGCACCACCAGGCCCAGTTTCAGTTTCCATTCTTTCAGTGGTAAGCTGATTAAACGTAACATGTATACTTAATTTACCTAAGTTTGAATTTCTTTTCTCTTTCTTTTTCTTTTTTTTTAGACAGGATCTCACTGTGTAGTTCAGGCTGACCTGAACTCATGGCAGTCTTCCTGCCTCAGCCTTGCTGGTTCTGGGATTACAAATGTACACCACCATCCCTGGCTTCCTGAGTCTGAATTTAATCAATACCTTCCCAGTTTTGCACAGTGGCAACATCATAGCCAATGAAGTTTATCCGAGGTGTGATTACTTCTAATTGAAAAGTAATCAACACCTTTAATCTCTTGGACAATAAATACAAGGGTGTTAAAATAGTTAAGTTTGGGCTGGGGATTTAGCTCAGCGGCAAAGCATCTGCCTGGTAAGCGCAAGGTCGTGAGTTCGGTTCCCGGTACCAGAGAAAAACCAAAAAAAAAAAAAAAAAAAAAAAAAATAAAATAGTTAAGTTCCATTTATAACCCCCTCGGTTTACATTTTTGTCGTAGGGTTTAGGTTTCTTAA